TTTAAGTGGAGACCATAAGGATTCAAGTGATCTGCTGTAATATTGGTATGATTTAATACACCCCATTTATTATTATGGCATACCTGTGATAGTTTGCAATTTAGTTCTTTGATTTTGGAATCTAGGCTTGAGTCATCAGATCTGGTTATAACTTTCGATAATACAATCTTAGTATTTGGTGATTCCTTTACGATTTCCTGGCAAAGCGTAGAAATTGACCCAGCTATTTGTTGAGGGGTTTGTTGCTTTAAGTCATTAGTTCCAACATGTAGGAGCAGATAGTCAGGGGATCTTGATATTGCTGGTTTCACATAGTAACGCATATCAGCAACATTGGCTCCACTGAAGGTTTGCACGTTGATATTATGCTTTGTGCCTTTACGCAACTTGGAGGGGTTTAGATGTTTCACCATGGAATCTCCAATGATGGCCACATTAAGACGATGGCCTGTCTCCGAGCCTGCTCTTTGCTCATATGCGGGCTTGTCTTTTGGCTTTTTGTGGCTGTTGTGATCTTTTTTCACCATTTGGGTAGCAGAATCTCTCTGTTGTCGCTTGTTGTTTTCATTGTCTGCATCGGTTTCATTGTCGTTGGTATTTGTTTCTTCAACAAGTAGGGGTGAAAAACTGTTTTTTGTTGGAATAGTGACCACATGTTCGCTGTTTGTGTCTTTCGTATCTGAAGAACATTCCAAAACAGCTTGTTGTTGGTCATGAGGAGTTTCAAGGTGATTTACATTTATTGGTTGAGTGGATTCCAAATCCTTAAACAATAGCCGGATACTTGTCATTAGACTGGCTTTCTCTTCATTAGCCCGTGCGGCTTTGTCTTGTAAATCAGCTAGCACAAAGCTTAAGTTGTTTACGTGTTCGGTTATCTTTTCGTTCTCGTCTTTTAGTCTGGCATTTTCCTTTCTCAGCCATGACAATTCAGTGTCAGAGTCGAGGTTTTTCAGTTCTCTCAATTCTTTGGAGTGAACTAGCAGTATGTCAGTGACGGAAGACATTTTAGAACTGATCCCCTCCTCCAAGGTCTGAAGCTTATTGTTAAGAGTCTCCAATGTAGTTTCGAGCAAGCGGTCTTTCGTTTGTTCTTCGGAATTTTTTACATCGGATAAGCTCTTCGCCATAGAAGCTACTGATTTTAATCTGTCTTCGACATTTTCTCGATCGTCCCTGCTGACAGAGACAGTTTGGGATTTCGCATACCATTTTATTGCAACGTCTTTTCCTTTGGCTACAAACAGCTTAGCATCGGCGCCAGGAGAAGTCCAATCTCCTTCGTTCAGGTCTAATACTTCTTGAACAAACTGCTGCAGTGCTTCAAAAGAGCCTGTCCAAATTAGTTTATTTCTATTGTTGAATGATAAGTCGTGGATAAGACTCTGCATCTTGCTTGATTATATAAGCTATTTCACTATGTTCACGATTCTATACGGATTATATACACGAACTGCTGTACCGGGAGTTCAAAAATACACGTCTGCTCTGCTCGGTATCCTATGGTTGAAGAAGAGCTGAATAATTGTCCAGGATTCGTTGGAAACATGATGCGCGTACTGTCCATCTTGTAGGACACAGCTTTATTATGCCATGTGTTGCCAGTTCTCCTTCTTCGAGGTTTTTTTGTATTTCTCCCAGTAGATTTTCACGTTTTGGAGAAAACTTTATTAGGGTCACAATCTCTTTTGCTGTATCCATAGTATTTGATATCACCTTACAGTTTTTCGTTGTGTCCTTCACACTCAGACTTAATGAATGACCATGACAGTGAGTTGCATGAGCTTTGGGCTGAAGTTCTTGAATTCTCTTGGCTACGCCACTTTTTGACCCAAGCATATTACTGGCTCCATCATAGCATTGCCCTCTGCAATTAGCTAATGATAACTGCAGTCGAACTAATACATCGTTTATAGCTGTAACTATTGTCTCAGCACTTATATTAGGTATGTTAAAAAATCCAAAGAAATCTTCGTGAGGATTTAGATGCTTATCCACCCATCGAATGCATATTGTGAGTTGTTCCTTGTTACTTACATCTGTGTATTCATCACTAATGATAGAGAAAAATCCGTTTCCAATGTCAGACACAATATCACGGATAACGTGATTTGCCATGATCGCTATTATTTCATTTTGAATGTCATGTGATGTATATTTCTCGCCTTTCCTCTCCAACCACCTTAAAATGAGAGGTTCGTCACTTCCCCTCAATTTAAGAAGTTGAATGAAGTTCGATTCGTCATCTGTGTCGCCCTGTATGGGTTGCCCTTGTCGAGCAAGGTACCGCAAGCTTCCTATGATTTTAATTAAACACAGACGGTTTGTTTGCATTGTCTTTTTTGCATCATGGCTTGACATTTCAAGTACGTTTCCACATGTTTTCGGAATTAAATGGTACTCAACGGCTGTCTTATGACATTCAGAGATTTGATGTTCCTTAAACCGTGTCAAAGCCTTTTTCCAGTTAGAGAAGCCGTCTGAAATAAAGGCATACTCTTTGTTTCTTGCCGTGCGAAGATTCAATTTTTCATGTTGTTGTGCACAAATAAAACACAACGCAGAATCGTTTTGTTCGTTGTAGTGAAGCCACGGAAACTCTGTAAACCACTTTGACTGAAATGAGCGGGTCTGTTTGCCATATCTTTTCCTCGGAAAGTTGAAATTTATTGGTTGGAATGGTTTTTGTTGTGTCATGTTCACATTAACTTGTTCAGCTTGAGTTGCAGGATGATTATGCTCTACCTGTATCTGCGGTTGTTCGGAAGCGCAAGGCAATTCCTCAATCATCGACGTTGTAACTGTCATTTCATTCGTCGTCGCAGTGATTGGGCCCAACGTTGTTACAGGTGGAGGGACTAAAATGTTTTGAAAGAAAAAGCAACCTTGAATTAATCGGACAACTATCGTATAAGGCAAGCAGCTCATTACTCAGAACACTGACAAACAACTAAAATTAAAACACGCTCGTAAACGACGTTTATGAAGCGAGAGTGAGCAAACCACAAATATATCATAAACTCACCTGTTTCCGAAACAGATGCTTGTTCATTCTTGAAAAAATAGTCTGAAATTTTCGTCGTTTTCTTTTTTCCGAAGCTAGACGTTTGCGAAGTTCCAGCTGCATTATTCATGTTGCCATAGACCATATGAGCTTCTTTGTTCGTTATGACAGCGGGGTTGAATGATCCAGGATGTCCACAGCTATATTTAATACGGCGGTAAACAAATAAACAATCACTTTCAACTGAACTCATGAAGCACGCACTTTCTGATGTTTCAAAACTGGATGTCACACTAGAAATCACTAAGTTTGCATTAGATATTCCCACAAGAAAAAGTAAAAATAAAGGCAGTTTCAACTCCATTGCGGAAACTTTGCAAAAACCATATGAATATAAATAATAATTTCGTTTCGGAGCACGTGGCTGTGTTGACGGGAACTTCATGTAAGGTACACATAATGGGGTGCTTAGCCCTTATTCATTTTAATTAGATGCGAAAGTTAAAAATGCCTAGAAAAGGTTTAATTAATTTAGAAAGTTTCATTTAGATTTCTATTTTAATAATTTTGGCTGTCAAAAAAAGTGGGGGGGGGGCTAAAGCCCCCCCCCCAGCCCCCCCGTCTCCGCGGTCCCTGCCGAGTCAAGCAGGGCGTAGCGTCGTAGACGTTTCGATAAACAGTTTTGAATTATGGCCGATTTTACTTCCTTGTCGATATTTTCGGAGTCACAGGTTGCCGCCAGCTTCCTAAGACGAGTTGAAAACTGATCGATTGTTTCATGTGGTTGTTGTTTGGCTTCACGAAACTTAAAAATTTCAAAATCGACATGTTTTTTAGGTGAAAAATACGTATCGAGGGCAGCAATAGCGGAATCATAGTCGTCGTCTTCGCCGATGTCAACAAGGGTATCAAAAATATCCTGAGTCTCTTGGCCAGCTTGGTACAACAAGAGAGCCCGCTTTTGTTTCTTTTCAGTCACATTCAGAGCAACAAGATATGTTTCAAATCGTCGTTTCCACTTTTTCCAGCGCTGACTGAGAGAGTTTGGATCGGACATAGGATCAAATGGCGCCATTGGAGCTACATTGATTCGGCCAGTCGCCATGACTGTATTCGTAAACTAGAGATTTCAAAATCGTTTGTATTGATAAACGATAGCTGTTTTTTGTTTGTTTGTTTACCTCGTCGCCAATGTAATGTTCGTGGTTTTGTATCAATATCAAGCACTTTTAAGTATAACAATAGATATCAAACAACTTGTACAAACAGCATAGTACGTATCCAATTACTTCCCGGTTCCCTAGCCTCGTGCTTCTAAAATACTTAACTAACTTTCTAGTCAGGTGTGTGCTAGTGTCAATAATGTCAACATTGCAGTATCTATCTGTATATTCCGTCTATAGACCAGGACTTTATAGGGTCGGCCATGGGGTATACAGGATCTAATGGATATTTAATTCAAGTATACTGTATATTTACTTAAATGTTATGACTAATTTTGGGTATTAGGTATACTGCTTCTGGTTGCTTTAGGTATTTTCAGGGCTTTCAGACTTATTCAGAGTGGGCGTCTGTTTTGATAAAGTAGGCGGCTGTTGGAAGGGGGCGGTCTAAAATTTGAGACTTGGAAAATTGATTGACCCCTCAATTTCCATAACTCACCCCCGCCCATGACCAGTCCCTTGCTTTCATTCTTCAACACAGTAACTTTCAAGATTTAAGATGGCAAAGAACTAAAATAACCAGGCTATATAAAGTGGACCAAGTTGAGGAAAAATAACTTTGTTTGAAAGCTCAGAGTGGAGGAAGGAGAGCAGAATTGATAATTCAAGTACTAAACACAGTAACCGGCGGTAACCTTCGTGCCACCCGCCGGAACTCCGGCGTAATAATAGGTATTTTGATCCATATTTATCAGGTATTTGTAAGTAATAGCATAAAAAGAGGCGAATTAGCTATTAAAACGTCCCGCCCGATCAGGGTCGTTTAGTAAAATTCCCTTGGGCGCCGCTCGATGAGGGTCATTTAGTAAAATTCCCGAGGCCCGAAGGCCCGAGGGAATTTTACTAAATGACCCGAATCGTTCTCACTCGGCTGCGTCTCGTGTTTTACACGCTTCTCTCGTATTCTCCCAACATTCCTCGCGTGCATTATCACACCATAAACGCACGCGACTCGTTTTCTATTTCTTAAAATAAAGCGCTATACCGGCTGAATATAATAAATTGTAGTTATATATATATATATATATATATATATATATATATATATATATATATATATATATATATATATATATATATATATATATATATATATAAATTAATAATCAATTAATAAAGTTTACACTGTTAATGCGCCTTGATCCAACCCACGACCATTTGATTTATTTAGTTTATTTATAAAACATCTTTTAAAACGGTAACTAGTCAACCATTCTATACGCTAAAATACAGAACCGTCATTAGGCCGTGCATGTAGCGATAGGTCAATAGGATTAACAAATTTTATAGAATATCCCCCCCTCTCTCCCCCTACTAGCAATTTCTTCGCCCAAACCTCCCTTATCTCCCCCTCACACTTCAAATGAGATAAAAAAAACTTCACGTATTATTACTTTGATTCCATACTTTGGCAGCATTATTCGAAGTTCTTTTCACTGAATTGGCTTTGGGCTTCGACAACATCAGTGTGTTATTATTACTTTTTAACTCGTATCGTGTTAAATGAAATGTTCTCAAGACATTCGCATGCAAGAGCTTTCGATACATATTTTAGTTGCTGTTCCTTTCTTCGTTCCGCAAGCTCTTTCCAATTTAATTTTTCCAAAATATCCGAGGAGCGGATTTCATATGAATCACCTGTAATGACTCTTGTAACAGTATGCAGCTCGGTTTTGAAGTTTCTGTAGCTTTTCCTTTCAAGGTTTCGCCACAGTTGCCCCACACCATAGAACAACAATCAAAATGTGGCTCAACTAAAGCTTGGTAAAGATACTTGAGAGTTACGGTTGAAACATGTGGCTTTACACGGTGTAACATGTCAATGCCTTTTGACACTGTTTTACTGATTTGCTCATCCAAGGTTAAATTTTCATCAATTAAAAGACTTTTTTGAGTTTACTTGATGTAATGTTTTCCCGTCTGCAGAAACACTGATATCTTGGGAAAGTCTACTCAACCTTTGGCGGGTTCCAATAGCCAGTTCTAGTTCCACAATCATGCATTTAAATATCAGAACAACAATGTGCTTGATGAACGTCTATGTGCCGATGAATTTTCCAAAGTTCCTAGAAAATAAAATAATCGATAACACCATTCATGCCAATACAATGTTATACACGGTAAACGAACATATCTTATTATAGTCTAGATTTTAAATTTCAGGGTTGTGGCTAAAGGGGATGAACTAGAGGCAGGTTTTCAAGATGGTCGCCAGTTTCTAAAATCATTAAAACGTAAAATAATCAACAACCAGCCACTTGCAACAATAGTGAACCTTACCCTCATCCCACACATAACAGTAATCCTAACCCCACACTAACCCTAATACTAACGCAAACTCTTATTTCCATTTTGGAACCATGTCGTAAATTATCTTTATGACTTGATAAAAATCCACAAGAAGCAGGGCTTTCAGAATTATTCAGAGTAGGTGTCTGTTTTGATAAAGTAGGCGGCTGTGGGGAGGGGACGGTTTAGGGAATCTTAAAGTCATCCAAATTAACATTGATTAGATACAGTACGTTGATTAGATATGCGATGGCGACTACAATTAGGGATAAATAGTACGAGTGATGTTTGGAAATTTTGCCGCCGGGGCGAGTCCAATTTGGCAAACTTCCAAACAGCACGAGTACTATTAATCCCTAATTGTACGAGTAACATTGCATGATTACTTGTTTATTATTAGCATGACAAAATTGGATACGTCTCAATGTCAACATCATATTCTCTCGCCAAAGCCCAGTCCTGCCAGACTTTCAACCAAAATTCGGTGCTTTTGTTCGTATTTTCATTTAGTTCTTTTGTTAAAGCAAAATTTGGTGCTTTTGTTCGTATTTTCATCTAGTTCCTCTTGGGCAATTTCATTTCACATTTGTGTTTAAAATACATTTGCGCCATTTTGTTTGTTTTGGGAAAATCATTAATTGTTCTGCAGTACAATTAATGATGGTAATAGAACGAATAGGAGTGCTATTAATGCCATAATCATACGAGTGATTACAAAATCAACCGACCGCGTAGCGGGAGGTTGATTTGTTAATCACGAGTATGATTATGGCATTAATAGTACGACTTTAATTCGTTCTATTACTTATTAATTATTTATCTTCTGTAATCAAACTGTTTAAGGGGAAAAGCAGAAAAATACAATTTGTTGAAGTTCAATATAATTATTAAATTTTTGTCACGACAATTCTTAGTGAAATAGTACAATTTTGAATTATTGTTTATCATATATAATCAAATTAACATATTATTAACTTCCGGGCATTATATCCGGTATAAACACATGACAACATTTGTTTGAATTATTCAACACACAATTGGGAAGCCATGTTTGTATGTTTATAACGTGTTCAAAATAGTGAAGTTCTTTAGTCCAATTAATCATCTGAATTGGATAGAAATATAACTCCTGGTTATGTTTAGTTCGGTGTCTTCTGCTGGATGAACAGGTAGGTCATTTTCGTCAGAAAATATATAATTTAACAACCCTCGAAAACGAGATCGGCATTCGCCATTCGGCAATGCCGACCTACAGTATTAAAATGCCTATGTTTTGCCGACCTTAATTCAGCCAAAGTAATAATCTTTTTTGGTGCTTATAGCTGTTAAAAAGTCAGCGATTATAGAATTCGATGCACTTTGGTGTAAGGTTTGAGAATTAACGGGTATATTTATGATATAATTTCGGAAAAACCCTAAAAGAAAAGGCTTCGTGACATTTATACTTTTCAATGATTCGTAAATACGTGATTACTAGTGCAGGCTACTAGTGCTCCAAGACATGGAAACAGATTTTAAAAAATGCCGAGATGTGCCGAGCTAGGTCAGATTTAGGTCGGCATTTTTTTTCCGACCTCAATTTTGACGGTTTTCGAGGGCTGATTTAAAAATTAAAAGGTCAAAATTTGTGAATTCCTCCATTTTGAATTTTTTACAGCAATAAAAAAAATAAAATTCAAAGTTTGTATCCTGAATGCTGATTGGCTAGTTGTAAATACTAGACTGATTTTCATTGGCTGTAGACAAGAGTGCGATTACAGCTCAGAAAAGGTGCGATTAATGCTCAAATCGCACTCCTGTAAACCAATGAAATTGCAGTACTTGCCACTGATTACAGAAGATAAATAATTAATGAAATAATTGTACTCCTCTCAACCAATCAGCATCCAGTAATTTTGTCATGCTAATAATAAAATCGGTAACTAAACTAAGTCTGATTTAATATATACATAAGTTATACAGTAAGTTACCATGTGTACGTATATAAATCAAGCAATCCAGAAGACAAAAAAAAACAACGGTAAGAGCAGCTATAGACTTACTCCAAGTCTCGCTCGAATTGGCTTTTTTATAGTGTTATGCCATGAACTGATCTCATAATATATTGGATAAACCCAACTGAAAATGAAACTGATCTGGTATAACAGACTGCATGGATAGACCCTTTGAAAAATGAAGCCAATTTAAATTGTCGTATTTTGTGCAGGCGCTCATGCTCAAAGACAAATTTTCGAAAAGTATATAGTCGGCAAAATGTACAAAATCAGGTCGAACTTTTATTAAAAATACAATCATAGGCATAGCTTATCATCAAACTATGACATTAGTATTGCAATTACTACATACTATCAACCTTCAAAGAACCTCTTTAGACCAAAAGCGAGCCAAAAGACCAAACAGCTAAAATCTACCTTTTATACTGCCAGATTTCCTGGCCTATATAAGTCAGGCCGAAGTGCGTTTACACTACAAAAAATTAGTCCAAAGCTAAGGCCTAGGCCAGGCTTAGGCTCGTAGTGTAAACATGGCTTTAGTATAACTTCAGTGAAAATCTCTCATGTCTCTTATTTTAATTTTGTCTGAGAATAACGCCAGCCTATTTGTCTTTAACATTCTGAAAATCCTGAAATTGTTCCGACAAATCACAGTAACTACAGTATAACGGGTAACATTTGAACACCTTCAATCTCCCTGGCAACTCTGCAAACTGCTTAAAACATTTGTAATATGAAATATTAAACCTCGTTTATTAAATATATATATATAAGTACTTTGAAGTATGATATGATTAAATTGAAATATCTTCATTTAAATAATATGCATTAATTATTATATTGATCTGATTCATCTTCTATGTTAATTGAATAAAATACTTTAATGTAAATTAACGTGGAAAGCGTGCAGCTGAGTGTCAGCGAATATATTCCGATGTTGTCCAGTACTCAGTATTTAAGTAATTGGTTCTTTGTTGACGACCATTATATACAGCAACGAGATTTGCTTAATCTTATGTCTTTATGACAGTTTCGAAAATTAGTTTTTCATTTAGCGATAGCGGTATCGTTAGAAAGTTCGTATTTTCTACTTATCACTTTCTTACTTCTATATATATATACAGGGTGTCCCCAAAAAATGTCCCCTCTATTGTTGGTTAATTACTATAACTTTTTTGGGGACACCCTGTATATTATGATAGCGTATAGTTGGTATCTATATGAAGCTGTTTTTTACTAAATCGTCAAACGCTAGAATGAGAGTTGACGCGAATTTGTTTTAGAATTTAATCAGCATGAGTTATCTCATGTTTCATAAGTTTCATTGTAACGTACCGTAGCATTTTCTTTTGTGTCGAAGTCATTAGTTTCACTCTAGTGCTCAGACAAAGAAATACGCTACGTTTCGGTACGATACGATTGAAGTGGAAAACTGGGTTATAGCATAGTTAGTATACAGGGTGAGTTAAAAAAAACTGATACTTCGCGGCTAATTTGAATAACAAAGGTGTCAGTTTTTTTTACTCACCCTGTAGTTGTCATATAATCGATATCTCATATCAAATACAAAGGTTTTTGTTCACTGTATATTTAGAAGTAACCAGGAAACACTCTCACCTCAGAAAACTTGCTGCTACGTTTGGTATGACTGACTATAAGAATGGAATTATATATATATATATATATATATATATATATATATATATATATATATATATATATATATATATATATATATATATATATATATATATATATATATATATATATATATATATATATATATATATATATAATTTAAGTATATATTTAGAGATATTTGGAAGTTTATATCAGATTTTGTATGTAGCTGTATGTTAATGTCTTTGTACTGTACTCCCACTCAACCACGTATATGCAATTATGCATTCATTTTGGTCAGCGTATAATAATGAATTCAGTATGCTTTCATGTAAAATTTCCATATGTCATATGTGAATTATCGTGTGTATAAGCACCTACTGAAATGTTACTAGTGGGAAAAGTATGAAATGGCTAAGAACTTTAACAAGGCCTTTTCTTGGTGAGTATAGGTGTACAGTAATTTTATGGGGGAAAACACTTGTTTGTATAGTCCTAAAAGTATAACCGCCGATATATTATTTTAATTATACTCATGTATATGTTATTAACAATGCTATATATTTACTGGCATTGTGTGGATTAACCTACGTTGTTCATAGGGAATGTGTTCTTTTAAGAGCACAACATGAGCCATTCCAATATTACTTTATAATGTTTTAGGTTCGGTTAAATATTATCGAAATATAGCTGGAACATAAATTTTACGCTTCGTGTACACCAAGTATTCTCATGGCCATGGGTTTTTTATGTCATACTCATGCCCATAACAAAAGTGTTTTTTTAATTACGGAGGAAAAGTTGTACGTTTTCAAAACCTTCGACCATTTGTATAAGCTAGAGATTTGACGAAAATTTCTAAACCCTCCTAGTAAATCCTAAGCATTAAAATGATCACACACTAAATAGCTAGCTAGTCAGGAGGATTTACCGATATTTCCTCTCATTTTGTATCTATATCTACTACGTACCGTAGCCATGCATATATAGCCATATAGCCATTAATTCATATACAGAGTGTCTCAAGAAAAACGCTATGGAAATTCTACAGACTGTCGTGCATCATATATACGTGGCTAAACAATTCAATTTTTACATAGGACGAAAGAACAGTTATTTAGCTTTTGAATGATACTTTTTAAATCGTAACGATGACATATGGCCACATACTCGTCAAATAAAAATTGCCGGTCGAAATCACATTCTTCCACCGTTGCCGCGGCGTTAGGAATTGCATGGACAACGAAACATAAACAATTCCCAAGAGGGAATTAAAATTGAATATTAAATTATCTAAAATAAGCTCAACTCGTCAATCTTCGTCTTAGTGAGACCATAACAACGTCTATTATTGCATTAAACATGGTTCAATTAACTACTAAACCGAGAACATTCGTAATCAAAACGTCAGTTTACGAAACAAGTACCTTCCGGATTGACTAACTTTGCATAATTAATGTATTTTTAATTCCCAACGGTGGAAGAATGTGATTTCGACCGAAAATTTTTATTTGACGAGTATGTAATGTGGCCATTTCTCATCGTTACGGTTTAAGAAATATATCATAGCAAAGCTAAATAACAGCTCTTTCGTCCTATGTAAAAATTGAATTGCTTAGTTAAGTTTGTGATGCACAACAGTCTGTTGAATTTCCATAGCGTTTTTTTTAGACACCCTGACCCTGTATATAGCTATACTAACAGTTATATCATGCATGCATGTGAATATGTAGTAATATATATATATATATATATATATATATATATATATATATATATATATATATATATATATATATATATATATATATATATATATATATATATATATATATATATATATATACCATTATACCGAAGGGAAATTTAGATGAATTGGTTTTGTACTATTTTTATTGGAGGTATAATATCTTAGTTAATCTAGTGATTTAAACGGGAATTTGGTTGTGACTTTCTGCCGTATGTCGAGCAGATGTTCTTTTAACGTTAAACGTAAATAAAAGACGCTTTGTCATGTGGCTTTGAATAATAAATGCAACACCTCCGCGTTCATTCAATAAATTCATAAAAACATTGCATGCGATATCATGTTTGTTTCCCAGTTTAGTTTGTTTTCTCTTATGTAATGTACCAATATATTTCCCAGCATAGAAATTAGAATATTTAACAATTATTCGCCGAAGGCGAGGTGATTATCGGGGAATATTGGCCGAGACGAAGTCGAGGTGAATATTCCCCGATAATCACCGAGCCTGGGGGCTGAGGCGAATAATTGTTTTAGTATTTTTGCACAAGTTTTTTTGTGTTTTTCTGGTCTGAATTCATTTTAATTTCGCTTATTTCTTTATCACTAACGGCTAGCCGCCATTTTGAAAATTTCAATTTTGTTATATTCACCTGTAGATGAATATGACAGATTAATACGTCAAATTTGACCAATCACCTTGTAGGATTTGTTATGTTCACTTGTGCAAAAATACTAATGTTTATTACAGGCAGCTTTAGTTTTACAACGACGTTATATATTTTGATGAGTACTTCAGAATCTTTGACTTTGTTTGATTAATATGTATACCGGAATTACTGCCTACTGCATGGTGTTTGATATTGTACTCGACACAATTTGTCTTGATCACCTTACAAATTGTTTTCTATACGTCTTTTGTGTTTCAAAAAGCGGAGGCGGTATAAATTTGTGAAAAGAACTTTAAGAACCCAACGCATTCTCATTAGCCCTTATCAAAATTCCACCGCACACGGAGGGACTAAGTTATGCCTTATGGGAATAAAATCCGTAAACGGTTGAATCGGGACGACGGGAAAAAAGGCAAAACATGCACTGTTGGCCTACAGGGGAGGTGGGTGGTTGTTCTTCCCTTCCCTTGTTTGTCTGCACGGTGCCTTCTTCCACGTATTAGTTTGGTAAGACTAAACTATCCCAGTTTCTGCAAATGTAACACCCCCAAGGACACGTGACCCCTTACGCTATTGTTTCCAGTTTTTCTGGGCTATTTCCTCATCGCTTCCTGTACGGTTTTCTTAATTTCTATGACTAACGAGAATAACTGGGAATTGTAGTGTCTATACTGTATACAAAGTGTATAAAAAACTGCAACCCTATATAATTTGTATAACAGAACACTGTGCAACTCATTCTGCTCCTGGATGGGATATGAAAATACGTTCTAATTGTCCATGCACGTTATGGCAGGGTGTCCCAAAAATGTCCCCTCTGTTGTTGGTTAATTACTGCAACTTATAGCAATTAACCAACAACAGAGGGAACATGCATTTTTGGGACCCACTGTACAGTACGTCCTCAAGCATGAAATTCCTTTCAATTGTGTTTACGATCATGCAAATTCTAAAAATATCTGATTTCAAAGGATTGCAGTTTTTGATACACCCTGTACAGTGTGTATAAAAAAAACTGAACCCTTTCAAATTCAAATTAGCTCTAACGTATTGTAGTAATTTGACAGCTCTTATTGCTTTGAATTAATGGTTGGGTCAGAACACAAGATCTTGTACTCACGGGACAAAACTCAAAGAAATACTGTATTTCTTTTAAATTTTCTGATTTTTATTTCTTTGAGTTTTGTATATTTCTTTGAGTTATGACTATATAGTATTAATAGACCTTATGCATAATGCAACAAGGCTTGATGCCTGCGAGGAATGCTGGTCTCAGTAGTCATCGCTCGGGAAAATTAAACAATTCAAAATGGTCACTATCGAAATTATTCGAATTTATTCAACAGAAATTAATTAATACTACGGATTGTTGGGCTACCTATGATTATTCAAGCTAATATTAACATTCAAGCTCTCGTGATTTTTCCACTTTATTATGATCGCCTCATGGTGAACTTATTGATTCAAACTCGACAAGTTTTGTTGCTCGTGCGCACGGAATGCTGTTAAACTCGTGTATCTCACGTCAAGACCGCCGTTTGTTTATCAAAACCATAGAGAAGTATTTCATGTAGTATTCTTTATAGGGAGGGACAATTAGGAAAGTAAGGGGGGAGGGAAGAAAAAATAATCCATACAAGAAAATCTTCATAAAAAAAATGAAATGCATACAGCCAGAAGATGGCAAAAAATATAAATATTCCACAACACGAAAAAAACGCATGCACTGCGCCAAGCCAAAAAAAAACTAAAATCCATAAAAAATTAACCATGGAAGTCAACTATATAGTATTCATTTTAAATGTATACTTCTGTATTTCAATTTAGTTCAAACAAAATCTGACGAATTGAAGTATAGTGCTATTGAACATGGTTCAGACCTGGATGAATGTAGTGATGAAGAACAAGAATTGTTGTTTCAAAAGAGCGGGAAGTGGAAGGCATCGTATGTTTCCAAAGCCAAGACAAAGCACAATAATCATATCGATGCTGAACACGTGACCAAAGCTTTTTTTCATGTGACTGGAATGTCATGTGCTTCGTGTGTAGCTACTATTGAGAAAAATCTTCTGAAAAAAGAAGGTATGGTCAACCGATTGGGCGCTTCATCACGGCTTATATGTTTAGCTACCATTTTTAAACGTTACATGTATTTCGTCCAATATAAAGGAATTCAAAATGGCTTTGGGACCGGGTGATGATCTAACAACAGTCCCGAAGGCGACGTTTCAATTCAAGAGTGGCGTTATATCAGTTTCATTATATATAGAGGCATTAAGATTGGCGTTTACGGCAGGCTGCCAACCGCAAATGGCAAACTACAAATTTTGTTTTGAGTTCAACAATTAGCTCATGTACAAAGTTAGGGTCATTTGTGCATTAGAATTAAAGTATATGAGTTACCTACTTAGCTTTCGAACAGTTGTAGAACTTACCTTCAAATGCGATTTGAGGTTAGCCCTTTGCGGTTAGCGGTGCATGGCGTTAATCGTCATAACCTACGAATCCTAATTTTGTCTAGGTAGGCTAAGTTTTGTCATGATTAATTCGGAATAGTTTACGTTGACATTGCATGTGAAGGATCACATAGAGGTGTCTAAGATTTATTTTTTTCTCAGGTGTGACTTCAGTTCTGGTTGGTTTACTAGCTCAGAAAGCCGAAGTAAAGTACGACCCCACGAAAACAAATCCAGACGTAATATCGAAATGGATCGTGGATCTTGGTTTTGAGAGCAAGCACATGAGTCACAATGAAGGAGCACAGAGTCGTGTTGAAATTATTGTATGTATTTTATTCCATCAGGTTATGTATTATAATAACCTGCGTGCAAAATTTATTGTCTCTATTCAGGTGTTTCTGGTGCTAATACGCTGCTGGCGCAACATAGTAATTCAGGGCCGTAGGAAGCTCTTTTCGATTGGGGGGGCTGAAAGCGAGGGCCGAAGGCCCGAGGAAATTTTTAAATTTAGAGTCTCTAAAATGCCATTTCCTGGACTTTGGGGGAAGATTTAACAGAATTCTGATAGTCAGAAAACAGCGTTCTAGTATGTCGAAATTTACAGGAAAGTATGGGCCAGACTGTAGTATTATAAATGCGCGGCGGGAATTTTCGTCGTAAATGGCAGTTGCGTGGAAATGAAGGCATTTGAGAAAATTTCGAAAATCTGGAGTCTCTAGATGGTCTGAAATGGCATTTTCAGAGTTTTCTTTCGCAAGACCCAACGCGCAAAAGACAAAATAAATCATTAGTTCATCAAAAATGTGCAGATTTTGTGGGATTTTCTTGAAAATGCGCGACAGAAATTCAGCTAAAATTTCTACGCGAGGAACGATCTGGAGTATGAGTAATATCTTCATTCTTTGCAGTTTGTCACAGATTAAATGATAAAGTTTGCATGATTTTGAAAAAAGAATGATTATTAGCAAATTATTGGGGGGGGGGGCTGCAGCCCCCCCAGCCCCCCCGGTTGCTACGGCCCTGTAATTGCTTAGCATGCAAAGCGTAGCAACCTTCCGACTTTCCCAATCCAGCTTGGACAGCAGATTGATTGGATCATCTTGTTAGCATCAAATATATATGGAGAATTCTGATTGGCTGTTAAGAGGTTTCATAACACACCACCACGGACATTTAAACATTTTCGACCATAAAAAAGCGACCAAACGGATCAATGCGTTCAATTCGGGCCGCTTCTGAGACCGTGTACAGACTATATACTTTGACTTAACGGTTTTAATTTGAATAATTCACGCGAGGTTGTGGGAACGTCAATTCAATATATACATTTTGGTCAATAGTTTTTATTTGAAATATTTTCGAGTAAAACAACGTTTTAACTATCGACCGACGCTTTATTGAAACCACTAGAAAGTTATCTTCAGAGTAACTATAGATCAATTTCAGAAAGGTGCCCGATATAATCCACCCTAGTGCGATATTTTGCTTAAATTCCACTCATAATACGAATTATTCCCTGTGCTGCTAAATTTTATCTAATGACATCATATCCGGCAACTAGACAGTAAAAAATATGATCAGGATGAGCTTTTTTGTAATAAAGATACGTTATATTTCTTCTCCGAATAACCCAAATACAGTACTGCGCATATCATGTTAGGATCATATTTGAGTCCGTGGCACTTTAAGCGACTGGACTGTAAGTTGGGTTGAAAGTATAATGGTTCATTTATGGTAACATTGCCATAAACGTAGATATTAATGATTTACTTCCATGCTGCCATTTTACCTTTATTAGATTCATGGTATGACATGCTCATCTTGCGTTCACCATATTGAGAGCAGTCTAAAGAAGAAACGTGGAGTACTAAATGTATCAGTTGCACTTGCGACTGGTAAGGGCATAGTAGCGTATGATTCTGAGTTAACTGGACCGCGAGATATTATAGATCACATCCAGGACATGGGATTTGGTGCGGAACTTGCATCAGGTCATAAACATGGCGAAGCACTGGATCATTCGGAAGAAATCAAACGGTAATTGCATGATAAAATAGTATAGATATTTGTATGGTTTTTGGTAATTTCTTCCTTGGCAAGGGCATCACGTTATAAACCTTTCGTTTTACGAACTTTAATTTTTATCCTTGGCCTTACACGTATCTTCCATGTTTTCATGAAAATTGTATGTCACAAAAAGCCCTTTTTCCAGATACTACAAAATAAATTACCCTTTCCTAATAGAACAGACACTGTACCTGATAGAATAAGTGACGTTTATGTTTTTTCTCGCATGTATTCGTGTAGACATTTTTACTCGGGCAATACTGTCTACTAGTCTCCATAGTTTATATTAAAGCTTTTTTCACGGGGAGGGGGGTGTTGCTGACTTTCAATAATGAATTGTCTAATGATGATTTCATCCCCAAGCAAATCGCAATGTGTAAACTGGATATGCTGAAATGAAAACTTTCGTATATTCTTGAATAATCAGGGAACGATTTTGTATCCAATTTCTCTTGAATTATCAACAAGAATTACAAGCATTACTATGAAATTCCGCTATTTTATTACGGGGTACTCCATAATAATGCAGCGATTTGTTAATACCTAGATGGAGACGCTCATTTTTCATTTCCTTGATATTTGGGTTACCTGTTATGGTCATCATGATATACCACATGGTTGAAATGAAGATGCATGGAAAAAGACCTGTCAAGCTTCTGCTCCCTGGACTCTCGATCGAAAATCTCCTTTATTTTATATTATGTACGCCAGTTCAGGTATGTTCCGTGCGATTATACAGCCTAGTCCCTAGGCCTCTTAGTACGCCTATTGCGCGTTTCTGCATATTAATGAGGTGTGAGATTGGGCCTGGGCAGGAATGTCTGCTGTCTTTACCCCCGCGCTGGCTCAAGTTTGTGAGTCTCGTGACATGTAAATTTGTAAATTTTATGCGGTAAAAGTAAGTCAGTCCGATGTTAAATTTCCGCATGTATACATGTACTCGGTTTGCTATATATGATTTGAACGGTCGAACAACCACGTGACGACATTTAGTTTCACAATTTCTTGTTTCGAACACGATACTGATGCATATAAACACATGATTGATTTGAAGTATCAATATTGTTTTTATAGATATTTGGTGGAAGGTACTTTTATATCCAAGCTTATAAAGCTCTGCGACATAGAGGAGCAAATATGGATGTCTTAATAATGTTGGCGACAACGATAGCTTATGTTTACTCGGTATGTTTTCACTTTCTTCCTGGTAGTGAAATTAATCTATGACGTCATAGGCAGAGCAGAAATTTTGAAATCTTGAAAAATCCTGACAGCATTGAACTTAATCGTCCTAAAGAATTTTCAGATCAAATTGTAAAATTTGTAACCGAAATGTCGCTAGTTTCAATCAATTTTGGCTGTGATCATCACCCTACCAATTACTTCATCTTATGTAAAAAACAGGCAAAACTAAAATATATAACAACGAATACAGATATCGAAAAAAGTGTAAAATAATAACTTTGTAATTTTATACAATTAAAATTTCCAATGCCGATGTCTTTTCACAGGTGGCAGTGTTGATCATTGCAATGGTGTTGAAATTATCAAAAAGTCCAAAGACCTTCTTTGAAACGCCACCGATGTTGTTGGTGTTTGTATCCCTGGGTCGCTGGCTGGAACATATCGCGAAGGGAAAGACCTCCGAAGCTCTTGCAAAATTGTTATCTCTTCAGCCAATAGAAGCAACCTTGTGTGTTATTGACCCCGAAACTGGAAATGTTTCAAGTGAAAAATCTATCAATGTTGACCTTGTTCAACGTGGAGATGTTTTAAAGGTAACAGAGCTTTAGATTTATCTAATATGGACAACCTTGGGTACTTGAGTAAATTGGTTATTAGTGCTTTCCTACTGTATAATTCCAGTCGATTTATTAACTGTTGGGTCCACGATTGTGCATGGATCCCCAATTATTCAACTGTATTCATGCTATTATTTGCTAGGTTGTCCCGGGTGGTAAAATGCCGGTAGATGCACGAGTCATACGTGGTGAATCAATGGCAGATGAATCACTCATTACTGGCGAGTCAATGCCAGTTCCAAAGCATGTTGGAGATATAGTTATAGCTGGTTCTATCAACCAAAATGGCGCATTAATACTGGAGGCAACTCATGTGGGAGACGAGACAACTCTTTCGCAAATTGTGAAGCTTGTTGAAGAAGCTCAGACTTCCAAGGTACAGTATATGTTTCATGACATACTGTGATACCCATGCATGAATGTTCAGTCTTAAATATGGAAAAACATTCGCTGTACTGAAACCGAATCAGTAAACTATGCTGTCATGCATATAGTAGAACATTGTTTTCAGATTATGCTGACCGATATCGTATTTTTATAGTTAAAATATTTAGAAAAATTTTTGATTTATGGAAGCTGGATGCCATGAACTTGACAACCCCAGATGTACAACATCTAGTACCCGTACTGTCAATATGTACTGGACAGCCTAGTATAGTGGAGTGCGCCATTGTCTGCCTAATTTATTTTTAAAACAAATATGGTTTAGCCTGTTTTTTATATAATTTGCCCTAAAGGTAAAAATGAGAACATATTTGTACACTTCTAAAACTACGGTATAAGTTACATTTTCCCTCGTATGGTTTATTAACCATGGTCTCGATAGCTGATAATTATACAATCCCCTCAATAAAATGACACGTGCTTTCTTTCTATTCAGGCACCTATCCAGAAACTAGCAGACTCCATAGCTGCATATTTTGTTCCAGTCATAGTGCTGCTTTCTATTGTTACGTTGAATATCTGGATAATTATTGGATACAGTGATATTAGAGCTATAAGCCCGTCATTTGATGTGAGTACTGATGAAAGGCCGATGAGTATGAGAGGATTTCACAAATGAGCTACGTTTGAGGTTGAGCGGTTGAAGGTGCTCTTGGACGATCGCCTCATTTTAAAGAAACACAATACATATACGTCCACTCACCGTGAAAGTGCCAAAAATTCAATAAACGTCAACCAAAAGCTTTGTCTATACCTTTCAAGCCATGTTCATTTTCTATTAACTACAGTAGGAGAAGTAACGTACTAACCACATCTAACAACCAATTGTAGACAAAACGTCGTTAAAGATTTTTTACATCTTGCTTTAAATCTTAAATATATTATTGATGAAAACCATCTACTGTGCGTCATCTTCGAGAATTTATTTTGAATTTTTGACCTCGACAGTATGGCTTGGGCAAGGCGGGACGACGTCAAAACATGGTTAGCCTTATCTGAACTACCATTTATCGTCAATGTAGATGTTTAAATATAATTGTTACTTGTCATGGAAATTAAAACAGCCACCCAAGTCCTTTGGCCTCTTTTGACCAATGGTTATCAAGATGAAAATTTTGCGCGAACCTTTTACGACGTAACATGCATGTCCACTATATAATCGAAGATGTCGCGCTGCTCATATTGATTCATGGTAATTTCAATCATGAAGAAATATTTCCAAAATTATAAATTAAAATGATAATTTGAATTTATAATTTTAATTTATAATATTTTTTTCTTGACATTTTGAAAGTTATATGTAGAAAATTATAATACATTTCTACCACCATTATCTTTTCCTGATGTTTTTGTAAAATGTATTTCTCTGCTTTGTAGCCTTCGTCGACCAGTAAAACAGAAATAATTCTGGAATTTGCTTTCCTAACCGCCATTACTGTGTTGTGTATTGCGTGTCCGTGTGCCTTGGGGTTGGCGACCCCTACCGCTGTTATGGTAGGCACTGGTGTGGGGGCTCAGAATGGCATATTGATAAAAGGAGGAGAACCGCTAGAGACAACTCACAAGGTTAGTGTTGTATGAACTTTAATTTAAACATGTAATTGAACTGGGCTGACGATGCCACGAAAAAAATTTCAAGACTACGTTTGCACCAAAGCGATTTGTCATTTATCCTCCTTTCCAATAACAGTGACAATGACAATTTTTATTAAGTACCAGGCAGATATTACAATTGCCAATATGACATAATTAAATTATACTTTTTTCAAGGTACAAGCTAACTGAAATAACCATTATTGGCTAAACTATAGTCATGCATGCAGTATAGCTTTACTATATAAATTACATATACAGGCAGGGCGCGAAATAACGGCCAATCAACACACATTGTCCGGCCAGAATGTGGAGTTGTCTGGTCAAATTCTTGCCTTGTCGGTCATTTTGACCGGTTACTTTCGGTAAAAGAGAGAGAAGCGGGTAACAAAAATTATGAAAAAAGCGAGTGATTGTTACTTATACTTAAAACGTTTAGTGGATGTTCAAAGAATGTATTGTTAATCGGGTATCGCTATTCGATCATGATCAGCTCGACCCGAAGCTGAGATCAGTCACTTTTAATTAGATGTAAACTGTACTTGTACTTATACTGTACGCTCATTACAGTTTACCCAGCAGCTAATAACGAGCCAAAATGTCTAAAATAATGTAATTATGTATTTCCTTAGTCCGTTTTGTAACATGATTATTTGAATGCTCTTCTTGTGCTTTACCAGATTACCACTGTAATTTTTATAAGACTGGAACCCTGACTAATGGGCCGGGACACCTTCTGTTACAAAAGTTGCCATGTTTGTTGACGTAATTCCTTAGTCATTTTTGTAACATGATTATTTGAATGCTCTCCTTGTGCTTTACTAGATTACCACTGTAATTTTTGATAAGACTGGGACCCTGACTAAAGGGACACCTTCTGTTACAAAAGTTGCCATGTTTGTTGACGAAGAAGTGTGTCCAATGAATTTCTTCCTTGCCGTGGTTGGTACTGCTGAAGCAAACAGTGAACATCCTCTAGCACATGCTATCATCAATGACGCCAAAGAGGTAAGTTAGTTGTAACTGGACACCGCGACTCAGGGTGGTCCGTTCTCTGAACTATACAGTGTGTAGCTTCTCAAATATATGCGTATACTGACATTTGCCAGTCGTGTCGGGATATGACGTCAGCAATGTAAATTCATGCCCTCAACAATCGCCACCATCACAGCTGTGTAATATTTTGTACTTAAGGTTTACCAAAAGTAATTCGTATAGTATACAACAACAACTTAATTTTCCCAATGAAATTTGCAGGAAATAAGAGCCAATTAACCTTCAATTACAACAATAGCGAGACAATAAATTTTACTCTACAGCGGCAGACAATCCTGTTTAGGATAACTATTTCATCTTGCAGGGATATTTTGGATCCATAAGGTGTATAATGTCAGTGGTAATGTTATTTATGTTAGGGTTATACGGATCTAAATTACCCCCGCAAGATGAAGACCTGCCTGTTTAGTGAAGGAAACGTTATGAAAATTATGTTTTCTATTCTGGGAATTAGTATTTGCTCGAGTTAGCCATATCTGTCTACTTTACCTAGGATTTCAGTTCAGTTTGATGTCAGTATAGTGCGGTATTGCAAAGAACATTGTATATTATAGAAACTTGGGAAGACTACGTTTGGTACATGTGACAAGTTCGTATCTATACCTGGTTTCGGTTTATCTGGAGTTGTGTATGATATTGATCAACAATTCACGAGAGCAGAAGTGAGCAAAAGCACTTCGTCTGTGAGAGGTTAGTTCAGTCTGTTCTCGATTACCATATATTATTTAAACTCATTATAATGTTCATTGCGCTAAAATGATGACTAGTTTGGGACGTTTCAAATGGGTTTACACGGTTTCTGCCTGAATTTAAACTTCATAGATTATATATTCGAGGGGAATCATTGCCTCTCGTTTGGTTATCATTACAGAAACAGGAAATAAGAAGCACCTATACCTTGTGAAAGGATATAGCTGAGCTTTAACGTGTTATATTCTATGAATTTTCCCGTGCGTGTATTATGCAGGTGTCTTTGTGGGTGTTCATTGGAGAGAGCTGGGTTTAATAGAGAAGGGGCTTATTGATTTTACTCAACATGTAAGAAACCCAGTAAGCTAACGTGAAATTTCAGCTCAATTTACAAATCTATGCAACGTGTTTCCTTGTTGTGAGGAGATTTCTTTTGTGATGTATTTTCCCCTTACCAGAGGGACCTTATTTGAGGAGGGAGAGCGGTAGATAGAGGATTTACTACAGTATTCGCTCCCTTCCCGCTAGCCTTTCTCATCTTTTATCTCATATGCTATATATTTTTACTGTCACAGACGATGAAAGTATTTGGAAGCGAAGAAGTTTGATTAAAGGTAAGATCACATGTTCATTTAGTTTTGGAAAAGTAATCAAGCTCAATTGCTCACGACTCAACAGTTTTCCTGTTGTCTTTAGCTGCATGTTTTTAATATGTACATATCACTTTACACCTATTAGTATGAAGTAGGTAATATTTATATAGGATTGCATCATTGTTTAGAATCATCTGATGGCAGATATTCAGTTAAAATTGGTAATCGTGAATGGATGTTAAAACATGAGCACGAGGTGTCTGAAGAAATCAATATACGTATGCAAGAACACGAGGAGAAGGGCGAAACGGTTGTACTTGTTTGTATTGATGGTAAGTGTAGCTAAATCTTGGATTAATTTTTACACAGGACTGTCTCTATGTTTCATAACGATCTCCAATGTGTCCAATTACAGTATAGACCACAGGCCTATAATTAGGCAAATTTAATACCTAAAACAACGTTGCGGCTGGGGCATACATCTCCATTCCATCCAGTCACTCATTGTTCTCACCGTTTCATATCCATATCCCATAATCGGGTTTGGATTACTTGGATGTTTTGAGAGGCACATGCATGGTTTGTTACTGTGAATTCACTATTATTCACTTTGTCAAAAAATTTAAGTGATTTCACAGAGACCATGTGTTTTCATAGTAAATTAAAGTAGCCTCGTGATCAGGCACGTTAAGTTGTTATGTCGCAATTAGAAAGCACCCTATACCCAAGTATTCCTCAGGCATTAATTGTAAACCTCGACATTAAATATTCTGTTAATTTTAAATTCAGATCTTGTAGTTGGCATGATGTGTATAGCGGACTCGGCTAAACCGGAGGCCATACCAGCTGTTTCTGCTCTACAAAGAATGGGAATAAAAGTCGCCATGTTGACTGGAGACAACACACGCACTGCTTGGGCGATTGCGCAGCAGGTACTGTGTGTATTACATACCTTGAAAAGTATATATGCCAATGGCTATAGCAACTGATCTCATGGTAGACTATAGCCAGGATTTCTATAGTCAAGAGGGACCAGAAAAATTCCATGAAGTGCAGAAGCAATTTTACCCAGCGCTAGTTCGAATATAGTTTATTATCTAGATCTGAAAATGTATTTGGACTCCCAGCTAACCAGGGTCTGAGTATGCTCCCACAGTAAATTTTTAAAATCTAGAATCGGTGGAGCACTAGAGTACCATTTTAACATTTGGGGCTATTTTATCACGTTTTGGTGATTTTGAATCATCATAATATTTAACACATAACAACTCTACTTAAGAGCGACTGTCCGTAAAAATCGAGCAAAATTTGAATTCTGCGGCAATACACGAAAAATAGATTTCGTTCATATTTTGCTCAAATTAAGGTAATACCTAGTTATAAATGGTGTTTGGGTTAGATTTTCAATATTTGGTCGATAAACGTACAAATATCAGAAATCAAGAATTTGTCTCCAGGTAGCCTGCGAACAGGCTCTCAAGCTGAATTGAGAGCCTGCATCGATAACTAATGAATTTGAATATCTGCCCCGTAACGTTCGTTTTTCCAAATATGGAATGTCTATCCTTATATGGTGTTGTTTACAACTTTCATGCAAACTAAATTTAGACCGTGCAAACTAAATTAGACCGTACAGTTTATACAGTTTTTCGAAATATAAGATATTCAAGCGAAAGTTCAAATGTTTTAAATACTGTTTTCTCAAAACAGAATATTTCGTGCTTTGAGATAAGACGGCCAAGACCAATTTGATCAGTTAATGTGTTTTTTTATTTTATGCATAGTGCTGCTTGAGCAGTTGACATATATAGAGCTCAGCGGAAACATATAAATTACAGCATCTGACCAATGAGAATTTCGCGTCACGATTTGAGACGCAGATATTCAAATTCATTAGTCATCGATGCAGGCTCTCAATTCAGCTTGAGAGCCTGTTCGCAGGCTAGTCTCCAGGAGGCTATAATTAGCCGCAGACAAAGCCGCTGCCATGGTCAGTTTCATCACTTCGCGACGGATTCAAAACTGCCCGTAGATAGTTTTGATGGTATAATGACTATAATTCAAGTATTAAAGAACAATTTTATGAATATGGAATGGCCCAGGAGGCTTTAGCTGGCCTGACAGACGTTGTTGAAATTGGCTATTTTTAGTCAAATTTGAGAATTGCATTTTGTCACTGGATTTGAAGGGGAAATTTACTATGTGCGATAATCGTGAATTTGTTTATATTTCATCCACGGAATGGTATAGCATGAGTACATGTTATATATAAAAACTAGCTTGGGTTATTGCCTTGGAGCCTCACGCGAGACTTTTAAAAAAGCTCATTTTGGTGATTTCCAGTGGAGTGTAGCACAATTAAATCATTAGGCCCATACGTCTATACCAGAGTCACGAAGCTCAAATTGTTCAAAACTTTGAATTTTGTGTTTCGATATCAATGTATATGCTTTGTATACTTTATAAAGAATCGTTTAGAAGGATTTTCAATATATTTTAGTGATAGGCCTACTTACAACAAAAGCACAACAAATCATCATATCATTACTAGACTGTAACGTTGCTATTTATAGCAATTCGCGTGTTGTTACTGAATGTATATTTAATATGTCTGCAGTCTGTAAGCTTTTGAAGTCTTATAATTTCTCATTTTTGTTTAATGCTTTCTCTGCATATGTAAACTAATAAAATTAACGTGAGACCATGCATGTTACGATATAAAAGACTATAAAATAATATAAAAACAAGTTGACAAAGATGAGTTTAGTTCTTAGATTATTTACAAAGCAAATCTATTTACCTATGAATATATAAATAATTTAAAAATGTTTGTTAGTGGAATCTGGGAAATAAAATCAATGCCAATGTTGAGCGCTTTATAATGAAAAACTATGGCTGTCAACTGAATAACAACTGTATAAAATTTATAGCTGCCTCACTGCTCGTATATATATATATATATATATATATATATATATATATATATATATATATATATATATATATATATATATATATATATATATATTATATATATATATATATATATATATATATATTATATATATATATATATATATATATATATATATATATATATATATATATAAAATAGAATATGACTGTCTATAAACAACAAGCAGTGTTATTTTTAATTTTACGTTTTATATTGATGGGTGGGGGGAGGGAGGGGGGGGGGAATTAAGTAAAAACAAAAAAGTAAACTACAATATTAAAACAGTAGCTAAAGGAGATCCTTTGTAAATGATGTCCTACACTGCGTGGAAATGAACGTAGTCTTGATTGATTGATTCTTTAATTTTCTGTAGAGGTTTTGTTTTGCTCAAAAATACAGCTTCAATGATGAAGAATGACAGTAACAGTTTATTCATATTCAATTTATCTCGCTTTTTTAAAATATTTTGACGTTGTGACGTCACCGTGAGATCGTGTCAAGAAAGTCTGATATCTTTGATGATAACTTAATAAAATTTAGTCAAACTTGGCATGTTTACACTGTAATGGGTGCACCTGCAAGTGAACAGTTCGGATTATTTATGTTTTGCCATAACAAATAATTAGTCCCCACTCTTTAGTCGTTTAGCTTCTCTTCTTTTTTACAAATTCCTCCTGTAGACTTTAGTTACTCGTTTCAATGGTTTACACAGGGCTGTAAATACTCGTTACAATTACTCGTTACATTTGAAGTAATTTTAACCTCTAATTAATTACGTTTTTAGAAATGTAACGAAAAACGTACGGAACGTGTTCCTTT